AGGTTTGTGCTAATAATAATTGAAATTGCAAATTAAATAACGAGTGTTGGATGGTGATTACCTTCTCTTACTAATAGATTATCATGGACTATAACTAAAATTTGCTCTAGAACTTGAAAACCAGTATAAAAATTACAGAAACAAACTTCATTCCTTAATAAGAAAAACAAAAAATGACTATTATCAAAATAAAATTACACAAGCCGGAAACGATTATAAAAAAATATGGAAAATCATTAATGACATAACAGGTAGTACAAAAAAAACTAAGCAAATTGAAAACATATCTATAAAATCAGAAAATAATGATAATATAAACAATAACAAAGAAAAAGCCGAAGAGTTTAATATTTTTTTTACAAATTTAGGTGAAAATATGGCAAATAAAATACATAAGGTAGTACCAGCAGTAAACTTTCTTAAAAATGATAAAGTTGAAAACAACATATTCTTTAAACCCGTAACAAAAAATGAAGTAACTATTTTAATAAGCAAATTAAAAAATAGCTCTGCACCTGGTCCAGATAAATTAACAGCAACTACAATAAAAAATATAAATGAATATATTATTCTTCCTGTAACGCATATCCTTAATATTTGCTTTCAATCAGGAAAAATTCCAAGTCAATGGAAGGAATCAATTGTCACACCTGTATACAAATCCGGAGACCCTAGTGAGCTTACAAATTATAGGCCAATTTCTGTTATCAACAACTTCGCTAAAATTTTTGAAAATGCAGTAAAAAGTAGATTAATTAATTTTTTTCATAATCATAATGTTATTACAGATTGTCAATACGGTTTAATACAAAACTCAAGCACTGAAAATGCGGTAGTTGATTTTTTGGAAAAGACGGTTAACGCTGTAGATGAATCATTAAAATGTGCTGCAGTATTTCTTGATTTGGCCAAAGCATTTGATACCGTTTCCCATAACATTTTACTTGACAAACTAAATAACTATGGCATACGGGGTTTAGCATTAAGGCTCCTGAGGGATTATTTATCTAATAGAACCCAGAGCGTAAAAATTGGCAACACCGGAAGTTCTAAATCAGTAGTAAAGATGGGGATCCCACAAGGAACAGTATTGGGCCCAATTCTGTTTCTGGTTTATATGAACAACATTACACAAATTAATAACTTATCTGGGAATATCATATGCTATGCGGATGATACGGTAATTATTTTCGCTGGAAAAGAATGGGAAGAGGTTAAACTCGCTGGAGAAACGGCCCTAAGAAAGATAAGTTTATGGTTAAATAACAATCTACTAACTTTAAATGTATTGAAAACAAAATGCATTACTTTTAGTTCAACCATCGTTAATCAACCTAACAGCTTTTGTATAAAATTGCATAGTAGTGACTGTCAAAAAAGCGATTGTAACTGCCCCTTGATAGAAAAAGTTTCTCAAATTAAATACCTAGGTGTAATACTTGATCAATACATACGGTGGTCTGAGCATATTGTCCATGTTAGTAATAGACTGAGAGCCCTAATGCACAAATTTTATGTTCTCCGGGACATTCTTTCAAAGAAAAATATAATGATACTTTATAACTCCCTAGTGGAATCTATATTAAGGTATTGCATAGTAGCATGGGGTGGAGCATTTAACACCACTATTAAAATTGTAGAGACAACACAAAATATTATTTTAAAAATTATCCTAAAAAAAGAGAGACTATTTTCTACAAATAAATTGTACGATGAATCGAACATACTAAACGTCAAATTACTCTTAGCTTATCAATGTATAATGAGAATATATACCAATGCTGAAAATTTTACTCAAAAAAATATCCGCTTAACACGCTCAGTCGCTAATATGGAGATTCCTGTACAATTTTTCAAAAAATCACTTAGTCAAAGGTCATTATCATTCTTTGGCCCAAAATTTTTTAACAAAATTCCGATACACCTCAGGCAAATAATCAAAACAAAAAAGTTTAAAATTGAAATAAAAAAATATTTAATAACAAACAAAAAAAAAATTTACGATCTAATGATAACATATTATAAATAAAAAACATATTAAAAGCCAAAAGGACCATCGTAGTTTTTGTCTACTTTTCCTAAGGTACTGTCTCTTGTTTAATTATCTTTTTATTTATCGGTTTATTCTGTCGAATTTCTTCGTCCCTTGTTCTAATTTTTAAATATTGTATCTTTTGTTAAGTAATAAATAATTATATGTAAAATTTAATACCTGTCTCTAAAAAAAATATGTACATAATTAGAGTCATCTGATTGATCAGAAGCAAAACAGGCAGAAATGCCTAGGTTCCATGCTCAATCAGATGTCTTTAAAAATTTTTTTTTCTGTATAACTATTTTTTTACTATTAGGTAATGTACTTTAATATTTAAACAAATAAATTTGATTTGATTTTTGATTTGATTTGATTTGAAAGGTATTTATAGGGAAAAATGGTTTCAGTCCCAAGGTTTAATTTTTGGTGGAAAATGTAGATCTCAACATCCTGAACAAAAAAGGTAATGGGCACAAATAATCTACCTTCAGGATTTTGCGCTACGGGCAATAGAAGGTCGGCACCTGGGTTTTCAGGTTTCGGGTAATTTTTATCAAAAAAGAGCGTATTCAGTGGCCGATTATGGAGACTAGACATGCATGCCTGGAGGTGTATTAGAGTGAAAAAGTACTATATATATACAGGGTGGTCCATATTTGTGGAATATATTAATTATTGGCTTTATTATGTTTTGAAAAAATTCCTTGAGCAGGTCGATTTTTATTTCTAAAATGACATTTTCTGAACAAAATTATTTATCTCCCCCTTCAACCCCTTCGGAGTAAAAGTCACCCCTTTAATTTTTTTAAATAGAAAGGGGTAGCGTGTGATACCTCATTTTAAAGGATTTTCAATTCCCTATTCAGCAGTATAAGAGTTTTTGTTTTTTGTACATTTATATTCAAGAAACATCAATTATTATTTTTAACTATTCTATTAATAATACTACTACTACTACAATTTTATGGTATTAAATGTTCAAAATGACTGCCGTTAACTTCTTGACAATAACCAATGCGGTTATTAAATTCTTGAAGAACATCTTGTATGACATCCGGGCCAATTTTTTCAATTTCTTCGGTGATTCTTTCTTTTAATTCGTCAATAGTCTCCGGTCCATTTAAATACACTTTAAGTGGCCCCAGAGAAAATAATTAAGCGGCGTTAAATCGGGAGATCGAGGTGGCCATTCAATGGCTCCACGCCTGCCAATTCATCTGTTAGGAAATACTTCATCCAAGTAGTCTCTCTCTCCACGTGCAAAATGTGGTGGAGCACCATCTTGTTGAAACTAAATCTATCTGAGAGAAACTATTTCTATCTGTTTCATCTGGATTGTTATTATCAGGATACACAACTTGTAATTGAGGTACCAAAAAATTTGTTAAAAAATATAAATATCCTTCACCTGTCAGAGATTCATCAAAAAAGTAAGGCCCAATTATTTTATTTTCAATAATACCACAGCACACATTCGCTTTTTTAGGAAACTGAGTGTGAGTCTCCATTATCCAATGAGGATTTTCTCTGCTCCAATAACGAGAATTGTGTCGGTTGACAGTACTATTTAAGTGAAACGTTGCTTCGTCCGAAAAAAGTATTTTCTGTAAAAACTGCACATCTGCCAGACCATCTGTTCATTATTTGTTCACAGAATTGTAGCCTTCGGTCTGGATCGATAACTCCTGTACCAACTGAATTTTATAGGGATAGTACTTTTCTTTGTGTAAAAAACGCAAAATTGTTGTTTTACTGACGTTGTATTCGGCAGCAAGTTGTCTAGTAGATTTATGCGGATTTTCTTCAAGGGCTATCATAACGTCTAATCGTTTATGCTCATCAACTTCAGGGGTTCTACCTGCGTTACGAACTCGCTTCGCATGTCCAGTACTACGAAACTTTGCTACTTTGCTAACTGTAGACTGTGAAATATGTCCTGAATATTTATTATTAAATAATTCACATACCTCCCTATGCGTTCGTTTTCTATTGTCACAACCAAGCATTATTAAAATATATATTCTCTGAGTTTCAGATAAATACGCCATAACGACTGTTCATAAAATTGAACTAGTTAAATAGTATAAATTATAATCGTCAATTGTAAATAAATGTTCCTTGCTTATTCCCTTGTAGCAGAATAGCAAAAGTTTTTCATAAAAAGCACGGTTTAACTTTCTATTGCCATTTTTTTACATGGTCTAAGATAAGATAGAAATATTATTAAGAGAATAGTTCGGGGGCTGGTTAAAAGCTTTAAAAATAAAAATTGATGTTTCTTAAATATAAATGTACAAAAAACAAAAACTCTTATACTGCTGAATAGGGAATTAAAAACCCTTTAAAATGAGGTATCACACGCTACCCCTTTCTATTTAAAAAAATTAAAGGGGTAACTTTTACTCCGAAGGGGTTTAAGGGGGAGATAAATAATTTTGTTCAGAAAATGTCATTTTAGAAATAAAAATTGACTTGTTCAATGATTTTTTTCAAAACGTAATAATAAAGCCCCAATAATTAATATATTTCACAAATATGGATCACCCTGTATATATACAGTACTTTTTCGCTCTAACACACCTCCAGACACACATGTCTCCATAATCGGCCACTGAATACGCTCTTTTTTAAAAAAATGACCCGAAGCCTGAAAACCCAGGTGTCAACCTTCTATGGCCCGTAGCGCAAAATCCTGACGGTAGATTTTTTTGTGCCCATTATCTTTTTTGTTCAGGATATTAAGATCTACATTTTCCACCAAAAATTAAACCTTGGGACTGAACCCATTTTTCCCTAAAAAAAGTGCGGGGTCCTTTAAAGTATTATTATATTGATGAAAATCGAAAAATGCATGAATATCTCAGGGGTATTTTCAAACCTTTTAATCACAAATTGTTTTTGCCGACCATCCAAAAAGGAGCTAATCAATTTTTAAAGGCATAGCTAGATAAATTTTATCACTTACCACTGTTATATTTTTTAATTTTTTCCGATATAGATGTAAAACAATCGATTTGATTTGCCTCTACAGTTTCCTTTTTTCTTTTTTCATCATCATCAGCAGAAGTTATTTCGTGTTTTATTATGATACGTTTACGTTGCTGTCCCCTATTGATGTTCTCTTTTTCATAGAACTGTTTGAGCAACAATCGTTTCCTATCTTCTATCGATAAAACTGCACATTTATCCAAAGAATCTTCTACTGAATTACATTTAACATACTCTGCGTGTGAAGTCGCCATCGAAAGAATATCATCTGCGGATTTGTAAACATTTTCTGCCGGCCGAAAGTTGCTTAATGGTTTTCTCCATATCATTTTGCTTCTAACCAAATCAGTCGGGTCTTCCATTTTACTCGGATACAAAGATTTGGTGCTGGAACTCGAACTACCCGACGAAAGATTTTCCCAAAACGATTTTCGATCTTTAATCGATACGGTGTAGGAACAATCCGAATCCAGGGAGAGGTTTGGTAAACTGAAGGTGCTGCACAAAGACCAGGTCTCCGTTAGAGGCTCTGTTGGAGTTGGAGATTCGCTTGCCGATCCTTTCAAATTATTTACTATATTTAGAACGTTTTGCCCGGCCGGCTGACTTTCTCTATCGGTAGATTCTTGTTCATTTTCGTCCAAAAATGAGGAGACCTTCCTGTTGGAACCGAACTTGCTCCTCAGAGAACCTCTCGCGAAAATCTGTAACGACGAAAATAAGGAAATTGTCAAAATTAGAGGTTTAAAAAGAACAATACCTAATTTTTATACTAGAAGAAGCGAAATGAAAGGTTTATATATGGTAAAGTTACTAAAAAAAGTTACTAAAATGTTACTAAGAGGTTACTAAAAAGTTAGTAAAAGGTTACTAAAAAGTTACTAAACCCTAGAATCACACTTATATGGGAGCCATACGATTTGCAAATGAGGTTTTAAGATTGGAATGTAACACTTTAATTTATGATTCCCATATAGTTTTTAAATCAGGGTCCATATAGTTTTGCAATCAGGTTCCAATATGGTTTTCTAACCAGGTACCAATATGGTTTTAAATCAGGTTTTAATAAGGTTTTCCAACCAGGTACCAATAACCTTAAAGGTTACTAAAAAGTTACTAAACATTTAATAAAAATTACTTAATAGTCATTAAAAAGTTACTAACAAGTTACTAGGTATAATTTGAGGTTAAATTGAATATGACTTTTGTATCATTTGAAGAAAACTATTTTAAATTTTATTATGAATTATTTCCGTTTTCAACTATATACTGATTCGGATTAAATTTTTTCTTGAGTATTGCGAATTAACAACAGGAACAGAGACAGCTTCGTAAAAATCGAGCACGCGCTATATCCCACTTTGTGATGAATTGATTAGTGAGAAGTCGTTTCTCCCTGCACACCCAAGGTGTGAATTTGATTATATTAAGTTCAGTAATGTACAATACAAGTATATTTGAAATAAAAGATATTCTTCTATCTTTTTAAAATAATATGTTATCTCCCAACTTATTTATTTTATTCCTTTTCTGTCGTAACAGACATAAAAAATAAAAAAAAATAACTACTAAAAATTAAAAAAAGTGACTCAAAATTAAACATTCTTATCAAATAAAAAACAATTAATGCAAGAGTAGTTCGAACAAACGACCAGCTTGGGCTAAACAAAAACTAAATCTGTTGCACAATTCTATTTTCATAACATTGAATTGCTCGGGAGCACTGAACTCTATAATTTTTTGACGTAATTCATCCAAGTTGGTAGCTCGTTCGAACTCAAACCTGTATAAATTGCTTTTAAGCATTCCGCAAAAATAAAATTGAGCGGCGCTAAGTCAGGCGAACGTGGTGATCATTTTATAGTACTTTTGGTACCAACAAACCCATTGGAAACTTGTTCATTTAGGTAGGTAGCAGAGCTGGGACGAATCCTCAAAAAATGGATTCGAATCACGAATCCGAATCACGAGATGTTATTCGAATCACGGATCCAATGTTCGAATCCTTTTTCAAAAAAAAAAAAAAGGATTCGAATCAAGTGATTCGAATCCTTTTTTTCGGATCACGGATACGAATCACTGTCAGTGTTATACTGTGGTATTAATTATATTTGCTTTCGAATCTAATACTGTTTTATACGTCGGTCCTAAAATATTTAACGCATTTCCGGTGGAATTTAAAAACCTAAATTCGATAGGTCTTTATAGATCTAAATTGCAACAATGGATATTAACTAAACAAGGACAAATATTTTAAGATTTTATTAATTTAAATATAACTAAAATCTAAAATCTTTTAGTTAAAAAGAACTTTACTTATTTGCAATTATCCAATTATTTATGTATATGATAATTATTTATAAAATATTCAATGCTGTAGGTAATTTGTATCTACAGGGTGATTCATAACTATTGGGACATAGGCGAAGGGCAGGTTATTTGTACAAAAATATGATGACAGGGCCAAATATACCTTAATAAAATATTGCTGTGGAATAAGTTAAAGTTGAATTTTTTTTTCGTTTTTTTTTTATAATGTCACTGTATATTAATGAATTGTTATCAAAATCGGCACAGAGGCATATCTTTGGACAGGGGATAATATTTTATGTATAATTTCTCATTTTGTTACGGGGGGCGCCACTTGAATGATTACTAATGATGAAATTAAGTGGTAGCTTTTTTTGACAAATTTTTTTAGTATTTTTAATTAGAAAATATGATGTAAACGTCATTTCTACGTAATATTGGTAATATTGATAATTTTACCCGTTTTCGAGAAAAACGCAATTGAGCAGCTCACAAGTATCAAATGGGGAGTTAAAAAAATATTTCACATATGAAAAGTGTGCTTTGGAGTGTCAGATAATTGTGTTTGGTACATGTAATTTCTTGACAGTGAATTATTTTTGCTGTTTGATTATAGTCTATTATTATTACTATTATTATTATTTATCACCCTGTATCTTATTCCACAACAATATTTTATTGAGGTATATTTGGCCCTATCGCCATATTTTGCTCCAAATAATCTGACCTTAGATTATGTCCCAATAGTTATGAATCACCCTGTATAATAAATAAAAAAAAACAAGTATTATAAATTAAAAATTTAAAAAAACAGACTTCAAAAATATGCAGATGCCGTCATCACATCTTAACCAAATTTATATGGAACCACCCCTGAGGTACCCCCTTACTAACAAAAAAAGAATCATATGAATCCGACAAGGTGGTAAAGCATTATCGCTAAACATACATAAAAAATGAAGAGTTTGAGGATTTTGTCATGGACCCAATTATTAGATTTTGACCAAACTTATATGGGACCACCCCTGTAGTATCCCCTTTCTAACAAAAAAAGAATCATTGAAATCGGACACAGTGTTAAAGAATTATCGCTGAGCATACATAAAAAAAAATATATCGCGACGAATTGAGAACCTCCTCCTTTTTTGATTTGTTAATTCTGTAATCGTGCACAACGCCAAACACATAAGGTTTGTTCGGGTTTCCTTAAAACTCGATGCAAACCACAAAGCACGTATCTTCTAGAGACCCCACGCCAATGTTAAACTTTTAAACCAAATTAGCGCCACCTTGTGTTTGGAGCTGGAACTAAAATGACAATTGACAGATGGCGGTAAATTCAAATTGTAATTTTTAGGAGTAGGTAGTAGTTTTAAATTAAATTTTAAATGATTTCCACATAAATTATTTTATAAAATAAGAATGGAACTAGTAAGTTCGAAACTTTTATTTTACAAAATAATTTAGGTCGATTATACCAAATTTGAGGAATTAATTTGTTATAAGCAGGGGTCTGATGTGGAGAGTTGGTTCTGCATATTATTATTAAATAAATATAAGATATATCAATAAATAATCAAATAGAACATTCTTAAAATATGTTTATTAATAACTTAAATAAATATTATTAGATAAAAATAAATACAAATAATAATACATATTTAACGAATACTTACTCTCAAATCTTTAAAGTACCTATCAATAATTTAAATGTGAAGTAGAGACTAGGATATTACATTTTATTAACACTAAAATAATATATTTTATAAATGTCTTTTAAACCGAGGACAAATGTAATATAGGTATTGTATTAAAAGGTGAATCATTTTAACTATTCATTCAATGATAAATAGGTATTTTCCTTCCAAATACAGATGGTGGTATTACTCCACTGCTTTGTGTATTACTCTCTTATGTGAAAAATGATTTCGGAATCTAGTCCAGTGATAAATTGATTATCAATTAGTTGTTATACCCGTTTGTCTTTTTATGATGCAGATGCATGGTGAATCAATAAGTTTTTCTCGAAGTTTTCAACGTAGCACCCACAGGTAGCACCAAAATTATTGCAAAACACAGTAGCAAATAGAAAAGCAAAACATCACAATTTTGCAAATAACTAAGACGAAACTATAAACAGAAACCAAAAGCCAAAGCCAACAAAAAATCACTAAAATCAGACGGAAAAATGAGATTAACCAAAAACATAAATAAATACACGTCACATCTTTGGAGTCTGCTTAAAAATGGAGTAAGAAATCAGAATTTTACCAGTAGCCCCATCTAGAGTTTGGAGCAAATAGCATAAAAAATGTCAATTGTCGGTTTTGTCCTTGGTCATTCACGTGGAACCTCCGTCCGAGAACTAGTGGAACAGTTCAATTCTAAAGTATACGTCGCACACAACTATTAAACTGTCCACTGGTCAACTAGTCCTCTGATAGTTTTCAATGTATTTTAAAGAACCCGAACAGACCTATTGATTTTCTATTCAGTCTCAGTCTGTTTTAGTTTTTAGTTTACAATTCGCGACAAGTCAAAGCTTGAGTCGGCCGTTCGCGCCGGCGTAGTTTGGTCTCTAAAAGGATCCGAGTCTGATATTGATGATTCGAATACGAATCCTTTAGGATTTTCTCTGCGAATCCGGATCACGGATCCTTTTTTTCTAAAGTATTCGAATCCCGCTCTCGGATCCTCAAAAAGGATTCGAATCCTGGATTCGAATCCTCCCCAGCTCTGGTAGGTAGTCATAATCTGAAATTGACCTGAAGTTTTCTGACAGCAGAAATAATGTAATTTTTAAGTAGTTGAATATACTTCTGAATGAAGAAAGGACTGATGCATAGCCACCTAAAACTACAAGCCATGCACTGAAAAAGGCAACGGCGCATCAGCTGACTGAAGTAGTCCTGTGTTGTGTGCTCTGAACTCATGTGAATTGACTTAACCGTTTTATCTATTCAATGTTGCATTGAATACCTAACCATAGAGAGAAAAACTATACAAAAATCTTAAAAATAATTGGGTCATAAAAGGTATTGGTAAAAATTTTTGAAAATTTAATTCCAAGATCATTTAAACTAGGGTTAGATTCCGAAATGAAACGGATACTCACGTTCTTAAAAATGAATGTATCTGTCGTTTATATTATTTATAAACAAATTATAGAATATACAGGTTAAGCAAATAAATAAAACAACTCATAAGTATTTATAAAATTTAATTTCACATTGATAAATATCTATTTATACATATATAAATAGGGAAAGACAAAATAGTTAAAAGTACCATTTTATCTTTTTTAACTTTTATTTAGCAGCTATTGACTAACTTTAATGTTATTAATAAAAAACAAAAAATTGACAACAGTATTTTTTCCCAATCTTCGTCTTATGAAGTCCTTTGATCCACAATTCATACATGTTTTTCTCAAATTTTAATAATAACTAACACTGTCTAATAATAAAGTGAGATAAAATATAATACTGAACTATAATATTATATTGTAAGTACATATGTTTATGGTCTCATATATACAATGAACGAATGTATATGAGTAGAAAAAATGTTGGAAACATGAAAAATCATAGATGTTTTTCTCAAATTTTCAATAATAACAATGTCTAAATATAAAGTGAGATAATAAGATATAATAATACTGAACTATGTTATAGTGTAATAGGTACATATAAAAGTTTCTGGTCTTAAATGTACAATGAACGAATGTATAAGAGTAGAAAAAAAAAATGTTGGAAACATGCAAATTCATACGTTTTCTTAAAATTTTCAATAATAATCAACAATGTCTAATATAATATAAAATGAGGTAAGATATAATGATACTGAACTACATTATATTGTAACTACTTACATATAAAAGTTTATGATCTCAGATACCAATACACTGAACGGATATATAAGAGTAGAAAAAATGTTGTAAACAAGGAAATTCATGTACGTTTCTCTCAAATTTTCAATAATAACTAACAATTTCTAATATATTATAAAGTGAGGTAATAAGTTATATTGGTACTGAACTGTGTTACAGTGTACACATAAAAGTTTATGGTCTCAGATGTACAATGAACGAATGTTAGAGAAAAAATCTGATGTGTCCAACACATGACTTTCCTATCTAGTTATTACAGGCTTTTTCGTTTTTTTTTGTAAAACTTATTGTAGCACCTCTGCAAATATTTAGAGGTTAACTTAATATATACATTTTCCACATACATCTAACTCGAAACATTTTTCTATATACACTCATTGCCAACGAAGATTCTGAAATTTTTAAACTCATACTTTTCCTCCAATTTTTCCGTCCATTTTAGAGAAATCATTTGAAAAACAAAAATTACAGAGATCGATATCGCAAACATCTTTTAGTTCAAGAATTTTCTTAAAAATTAGAATTTTTACATTTTAAAAAATTTCTCGAATACGGACCATTTTAGGAAAATTTTATATACAACAAAAATTATGAAGAATAATATTAGAAGTAACTTTTATATAAACAATTTTCTTCTCCAAACAAAAATAACTAATATATTCCATAAAATATAAAAACAAGCCTCTATAAAGTACCCCCCAGATGTTCCGACTCTGCCCAAAATCTAATCAGTTCACCTCAGGCCGGAATAAAACTTAAGTTTAAAATTTAATGTGTTTTTCTTTATCAGTTTTTGAGTTTTCTTTAAAATTCGAAATGTACACTTTTTCTCAAATATTTCGAATACGGTCCATTTTAGAGAAATTATGTATGGGACAAAAGTTATAGAGAATTATATCATAAACAACTTTTATTTGAACAATTTTAATAAAAATTTGATTTTTTTACATTTTGTCAAATTTCTCGAATACGGAGTATTTTAGGAAAATTTTTGTATAGAACAAGAATTATAGAGAACAATATAGGAAGTAACTTTTATTTAAAAATTTTTTTTCTCCAAACGTAAATAACAGATATATTTTATAAAATTTAATAATGACCCTCTATAAAGTACCCCCCAGATGTTCCGACTCTGCCCAAAATCTAAACAGTTCACGGCAGGCTGGAATAAAGCTTAAATTTAAAATTTGGTGTTTTTATTTGTATCCGTTCATGAGTTATCGTGGATAGAGACACACACACATAGACACACACCCACACACACAGACATACATCATCGCGAAAATAGTCAAAACGGATTCAGGGGGCCCCAAAACGTAAAAATTTTCAATAATAACTAATAATGTATAACATATAAAGTGAGAAAATAAGATATAATTGTATTTAACTATGTTATATTGTAAGTACATATAAAAGTTTATGATCTCAGATATACAATGAACAAATAATGTATGAGAGTAGAAAAAAATGTTGAAAACATGCTATCGACCATAGGGTGAAACTAGTATAATTAAATAGTCCAGATAGATTTATTTTTTGAGCGTAGATAATTTTCGTTTTTTAGTTAAATTTGGGGAACCAGAATTTGTTGTAGAGAGTTTTTGTTTTTTAGGTAAACGTGACGTAGAATGTTTAATACTGTGCTTATTTTTTGTAAAATTGTTTAAAACAATGTTTGAAAATGTGAGAGCAACTTTTAAAAATATATGTCGAAATGGAGTTCCACAAATAATACATTGACCTGTAAAATGAATGAAAAAAGAATCACTTTTCAAACTTGCAAGAGCTAAACAAGCCAATAAATATTTGTGATTCTGTCTGAACAAAAAATTTGTCAAAATTTCTTTCGCATTTATAATATATTCAAAAATTGCACATAAATGGTAATAAATATATTTCACTTCATCCTGTGCCACACACAATCCACCTCGTTGTAAATAATCAAAATATTCATTTTTACTTTTTCACGTGTACTTTTCACCACTAATTGTTTGCAATTATTACATTTGATATTTTTGGATTTTTGGGTACTATGAGCTACGTATCCACAGATATAAGTTTACAACCTTCTCTGTGTCATTGAGGTGTGAAGCAAGGTATGAAAAATAATTATTCTCCAAGTTTCCATCAGGGGATAACTGGAATGATGAAGTTATTATTTGCAAATATCTTTTAGTAGGCAAGTTGAAAATTTTTTTTAAATATGCGTAAGCAGAAGGTGACTGATGAAATATAGTTAGTGAGAGTAAAATTCTTGACAATGAATATCTTTTTTTTGTAGTTAATAATAATAATTGATTGTTAATTAGTTCAATAATTAGTTCAAGGGTTGCTTTTTTTCTTCATCACTTAAATAATTAATAATGGCATCAATAATATTTGAAGCTTTTAAAATATAAAAATTAACGTCCACAGAATTTTTTAAGCTATAAGAATATCTTGATAATAAATTCTGGAGTTGCGACTACCTACCTAATTTGCATTCATGTGGTAAAATCCATTTTAAATCTCATGGTTATAGTTGCACATCATTAGTAAACACTGACACAGTTAAATCCATACCAACACTTATGCTAGAAATAATTTTAGGGCACTCATCGGAACAATCTGGAGTACTAATATTAAGCATGTAAAAGTAAATCCTTTCTGGTAACATTTTTACATTCCAATTATTTAAAATAACTTTCACATTCACTTGTCCACATAATTCACTAAAATTTTTTATTAGATCAGCATCTTAAAATTCTGCAACTTCATTTTCTTGTCTTTCAAATATTTCAGCTCTTCTTTGTTCAGGATTTCTTCTTTCTGCATTTTTTGAATTTGAAAAATACTGAGGATGGTTTTCAAAAATTCTTGGAATTGCACCTTCTTTCAATTTAGGATACTTCAGTTTAATTTCATGTTTAATTCCATTTTTATCAATGTAGAATTCATTTACTATAATATCAGTTTGATCAAAATGTTTTTTACACACTACTGAATTTGAGTTAACAACATAGTCTTTACGATGTATAGCACTAATCCATTGTTTTCTAATTTCTTCCTTTTTAGGATGTGAAAATGTACTTTGTGTTACTTCCTTTTTTAAAGTACTGGCGTAATTTGAATTGCACTTTGGTACGCAGCAGTGTCTTGGCATCTAAAATTAAAATATTGAGGTTAGAAATGTCGATAACATATTATCTTGAATATTTTTTAAAAATGTAGTACATAGTACATTAGTACTAATAGAAACTTACCTTTTCAGAATAAACTTATAAATAATTTACTTATAATACTTTCAATAGTAGCTATTTAATATTATTTAAATGAAATAAACTAACATACAGAACGGCAGTTTTCACTTCACACTTTTGTCGAATCATATGCAATCGTATCTATCCCTATTTCGGTGATTTCGGATATCGGAGGCGTTTTTGTGTCGTGTGGTCCCATAGGACTACCCGCGGTGATGCCAGATTTCACGCTTCACGGCTTGTAATTCTAGGAGGCTATGACTGATGACATTATCTTCCAGGATTCCCGCCCAGACATTCAGTTTTTGCGGATATTGTGTGAGTAAAGCATAATCTCCTGCGACCAATAAAAATAAGATCGAACTCGAATTAATCCCTTATTATCAATATAGAGCAGATATATCTTTTTGCGAAGGACTTCTTTTAAGAAATTCAAGAATAATTATTCCAAGTTCCTTGCAGAAACAATGCCTGGAGTTTATACACCAAGGGCACCAAGTGAAATGTAGGGCAAGAGCGAAAACCACAATATGGTGGTTAGGGTTATCTACTCAAATAGAAAATATTGTTCACAACTGCCCAAATTGCATAGAACATAGAACTAATCCGAAGAACCATTTCCTGAACGCCCCTGGCAAAAAATAGCAGCTGACCTTTTTAAAAACGATTCCTGGTACCTTATAGTAACCGATTATTTTTCAAGGTACTTTGAGATATTTAAACTTCGTAACTTAACAGAATTTTCCATAATAACTAAGTTAAAAGAAGTCTTTGCAAGGTATGGAATCCCAGATGTGGTAAGGTCTGATAATGGACCACAATTTCAGTCTCTTTTCAAAAAATTTGCACAAGATTACGACTTTAAACATATCACTATCAGCCCGTACTTTGCACAATCTAATGGTTGTATAGAAGCCGCTGTAAAAGTAGCAAAAAATTTTTTGAAAAAAAAAAATGATGATATATATTTAGCTCTTCTAGCATACAGATCTACTCCATTGGACTGCGGGTTTAGTCCGGCAGAACTTCTTATGAACCGTAAAATCAAAACTACTCTTCCCATTCTACCTAGTAAGTTAAATAACCCTGTAAGTACTGAGTCTAAATTTGAAAAACTAAATAAGGCAAAACAAAAAACAGCTAACCAGTTTGGCAAAAGACACGAAGTCAGAGAATTGTCATCTTTAAAGTGGAGAGACAGTGTTTGGGTAATTGATATCCGGACTTACGGAAAAGTCATAGAAATATTAGAAGAACCTCGATCATATATTATTGCAACACAATCTGGGTTCTACCGACGAAACAGATGGCACCTTATACCCGCCCCTTATTATAAATTTCCCTCCGTTACCCCAGCACTGTCTAAACTAACTGAGCCCTCATATCAGTCTCAACTGCATGTACACAATAGTGAGCCTTCTTTAAATTATGATGAGGCCCCACAGCATCCTAGAAATAATGGTTGTGACGATCAGGAAGTGCATAGTGAAAGTGATGTAAATCCCCACCTTAATAATAGTGAGAACTCTTTTAGCGTTGAAGAGAGGCCTTCAAGGGTTGTTAGAAAACCTTACTATCTCCAAGACTATATTACTGACTAAAAGAGGGGGATGTACTGTCAGGGACCTGGCAACATCGCGGACCTTTGTGCGGTATTTAGATCCGATGAAGTGTGACAAATGACAGAGCGCGGGGACATTCTAACCCTAGAGTCCAGGGCTTGATGGGCATAATCTTTTGTTAACCATTTTGATAATTTGATAACCTGTTCGAAATACAAGTCTAATTCATATAGTTTCTACTCAGGGGGGGATATCGCGCATGGTGTCATGGCGGCTCTGACGTCATGCGTAGAGTTAGTAGAGTTGGCGCGAAATAAATATCATATGACAGACGCATGTTGCAGTAGTTTGGGAGTCGTTTATAGTAATTTATAAGGTATTAAACAGATATTTGTATTATATTATGTTGTAAACTTTGTTCTCTCTAAGTGCTTTTAGTGAAAAACTTTGAAAAATTGCGGTACGGATGTAACAGTAACAAAGCAAGGGATTCAAGAAAAATATTATGGTTTTTCGCTTTCTTCGACAGTAAGAGCTCAGTCAGAAGTGAGGAGTGGCCCAAGGGCGGCTACAGCGGAGGCTTAGAGGAGCATGCCGTTACCTAGATTAAAATTCTTAAAATCCATGAGCCTTTTATTAAAAAAAATATGCTAAATAGGCAATTCTAGCCTCCTTCCCAAGAAAATTCGTCATGGAACAGCCCTTGCAGTGGCTCGTAACCCTGCAAATAAATTTTCATATGTATTCCAAGCACTTTCAACCTTCCAATTATAAGAGGAACCTCCAATCAGAACTTCACATTGGTTCCATCGCAACTTGGGACTTCTAAACTGGAGACTCTACCCTTTGAAGGCTAAAAATTTCGCAATATAAGCAAAAGTGAAATTGTAAATGAGGCAAAAAAAAGAAAATTTCGACTTGTACTTGATGAGTGAATTAAAAAAATTGTCAGCGACTTTGTCCAGGAAAATTGCAATGACATTTTATTTTAATTTTGTATATGCACCCACAATATGTTATGTAGCTGTTATTTGTATTTCGTACATTTTTTATGCTTTGCATTATATTATATGAATGTCTGCATTATATTATATGAAAACACATATTTTTTAAATTTATTTTTATTCAATTGGGTAATTTAATGCAGGTAAATGAGTAATCAGATAAAAATTTCCGGCATATCCAGATGCAAAATTGTTACCAGGATCCCCAGTTTCAAGTTGCGAAGATACCCTTTTCATTATCCTGGTTATAAAAACTAGTCTTTAGAAGTCAAATTTGTATAACCATAATGAATCATAAAAAAAGAAAAAGGAAAAAACTGTTCAAATAAATACTTCTCTTATGTATGTATTTGCATTTATGTTCCTTCATAGTTCTTTCCTTAACTATCCTATAATAATATCCATAGATATTTCATTTAATTTCTACAATAGTATCCTTAATATTCATTAACTTTCTGTAAGTAGCATATATTTTCCTCACATTTCGTCAGTATTTTTAAATTCGCGCCTATACAAACTCTACGCGTGACGTTATGCGCGTGGCCGTCCTATTTTTGACACTTTTGATATCCTACCTTTTATTTTTTATACCATGGTTTCTACTTATTTCTTTACCTCGATAACCAAACATTAACACTAAAATATTGTGTGTTGTGATGGAGCAGTAACTAGGTCATTTGCGTTTTAATGCAGAGGTTCCGAGTTCAATTCTAGGATTGGAGACTAATTAAATCTTTTTTGTTTTCTTTTTCATGTTTATTTCATTATATAAATCAGTCGAATTCATAAATAATTTTTAAATTAGTTATTTTATCCCAATAACCTAAACTAATGTTTAAAATTTTTAAGTTTTTGTTAGTGGGTCGTAGAAAAAATATACTGTACAGCTCGGGTGGATTGTCCGTATCGTACTCAAACTTCGTCTTCGTCATCATTTTCAGTGTATTTTCATTTATTTTGTGCATGATAAAAATGTTAGTGCCGCAATATAAATTGTCTGAATCAGTAAATAAACTATTAATTCAAGATGAAATTGTCATATAATATAAAGCACAAATTAGAAAAGAAAATTAAAAGAAAAACTAAACAATTAGGGATAAAATCGAAAAAATAGAAACAAATTTGAAAATACTGCCATTTTTGACAGTTCGGTCGTGCTCTAATCCCTCTGCCTTACTTGGATCTTTTATGACCTCCATTTTACTGAGGCCCTTCCTATGGGGCCTCAGTATTGCTTTTGTGCAGACGAAAACAGTTTCTTACCCCCATTTTTTAAAACTTTTTTTCATGTTTCCGATCATTCGGAGTTCGAAAATGAAAAAAAAAATGTGTCGTCTGTTCGTCTGTATGTATGCCGGCATGATAACTCTAGAATGAAAGTTCTGATTGACTTGCGGTTTTGATTTTTTTGAATAATTACTTCTAACTTAGAACACTATTGATTTTCAGAATTTTCGGTTCATCCTAACTACTTTAATATCAATTTTCTTAAAATTCGCCTATGCATTTCATATGTGACAATTTTAGGAATTCCAATCATTTCTAACGTCTAAAATTCCTAACATTCACATTCTATAAATTGCAAACGTTCTTTAACGACCTGTCAATCAACAGCTGTTGATAGTAAAGGTGAGATTTCTAAGGCGAGTTGCGACCTTCATACTTGCACCATAGCCATTTTTGAGGCTATTTTTATTCGAAATTAGTTGCCAAGTCTTCCAATTTATAAAAAATATGTAAGCAGTTTCTTAAAACTTACTTTGCTTACTACTATTTCATCCCTAGCCACAAAAACACCTTTATCAAATTTACTGGCTCTCTGTCGCAACCCCATAGAATAATTAACCGGCCATTTCATTTGGAAAAAATCAGAATAATGCTTGGCTGTGCCTGTCAAGTATCAAGATGTCAACTGTGATGGGTGAATAGCTCTTAAATGTCAAATTATTTAAAAATGTATGCTTCTTTTGATATTTATTGCAAATAATTTGTAGTGTATTTCAATTCAGGCTTTCCATAAGTAAAGGTACAACAAGACAGATAATATAATGTTCTTATACAAAGCACTTTTTTATTATATAAAAGAGAGATAGGTTATAATGCTGGTTTTTAATGACGTAATGTTATCAACAAATTTCAAATTTTGATCAGTTATGATACCGAGGTATTTTGTTGTGTTTTTCATTTTAATTATAAAGTTGTCATTTATTTGTATGTTGAAAGAAGGCCTTTGTAAATCACATTTCTCTCTATAGATCTACTTTAACACAAAAATAGTTTTGTGGCTATAAGTTGCTATAACCTATCGTCGCAAAACTATTAATAATTTAAACATAGTAAGTAGTATTATTATAACATCAAGTAATTATTTAAAATAAAGTACAAGATCTCAAAAAAGAAATAATTTATAATAAATGCGGGTAAAATAACAATAAATTAAGGGAAATACTTAAAAAGGGCAGGTTAAAAGAGTATTATTACAAGAAAGTATAACCGTTCTGTTTATTTATCAAGTATTGTTTGAGGTTGCTTTTGAATACATTTATTGTTATTTTTTTTTAATTTCTGTAGGCAATCTATTAAATTTTTTAAACCTTTAATAAAAATTGTACTTTGGGAACTTTTAGTGATGGCTTGCCGTACATGAAAGTCAGATTGGCTTCTTGTATTATAGTTGTAATATTGCGAATTATATTGAATTTTTTCTGATAGATCTGATGCGATGGTATTGTCATTTTTATTTTATAAATAAATATCAGTCATGTACTGAACATAATTCTGAACTGAGAGCCAATTTATTTCTTTTAACAGAGTTGCAATACTCATCCTTCTGTCGTTTATTAATAGAATATAAATAGGCGAAGTAAGGAGCCCAAATATTTTACATGAGCAGGCTTAAAGAGGTAAAGGGGCCAATTAATATTGAATAAATTGCTCGAACAAGTTTTTAAACCCTAATCAAAAGGCGATATAGAATGGTTTTAAAAATCAAGGCTTGTAAAAATCATCACATGGTTTAACCTAATGCCAATGCTTCACAAACCAAAAAATTCAACGTCCTAATACTACTATCAGCTTTCGGTCTTTCGTTCCAAGTAAAATCATTTCTCGTTTTTGTTTACCCTTGTGGACCCCAGTCTCGATAAGGTGGGAACCACCATTTTAGGGTCTCTCGAATTTCCCGTTACAAGAATATTTGATAAAAAAAAGTCACCCTATGATACGCCTATGTTCGCAATTAATCAAAGTGAATCATTCATTCTCGTATATACTGGATTCGTCTGGAATATTCGAGAGCAAGACTGGAGCACCACATATGTACCTATACAGGCTTAGTTTGAGTTTTAGGTAAGATTTATCAAGTTTTATCATTGCTCACGGAGACAACACAGTGATGAGAGAATGTTATGACTTCTTACCACAAAAATAAACTTAACAATACTTACTTTTCTCTTTTCAGCAACCGTTCTTGGAATAATTTCTACTTCAGGTACAATATGGTAGGGGCATATTGGAGAAGTATCTTCTTCTAAAAGTTTCGAGTAATTATCTAATTCTGGTTTATAAATTTCGTCGATATATTTGTTTTTACTTCTTTCAATGTTGTTATTATTATAGTTATCTTTATTTAATTCGATATTGGATTTTTTACTAGATTCGTTCAGAATATTTTTGAAATATTTGTCTTCTAAACGATACGAAGGTTGTTTTAATGAATCCTCATTAAACATATCGGGAATTTTAATTTTATTTACGTTTACAGCGTTCACGTATTTGGGTTCTAGCACAAAATTGCTTTGCGTTTTTTCATTATGGTTAATTAAATTGTTACTAGCAAATATTGATGCACTATTCATGTTATTTATTTTAATTTTATTGCTAGCCTCTTGTTTACTGGCGTTATCGTAATTTTTATTTTTAAATATTTGCTTATCGGTGTTACACGATTTTATGGTTTCATCAGGTTCATTTTCTAATGGTTTTGGTTCATTAACAACCTCATTAGGTACATTTTGATCAGCATTTAACAACTGTCCGTCATCTTTGGTTGGGTTGTTATTTGTAATTTTAATAACTTCTGTTAGTTTCTTTTCCGCAGACTTTTTAAAGTTTATGTCAATATCATGATCAGGTTTCAACCAATTTCTGAAAGAAAGATATATTTATTAAATAGGAAAACCTATACTATTTTTTTTTTTGTATTAAAAACAATTTTACACTTGTAGTATTTTACTTTACAAGTCCGGTAGGCGATTTATTACAGTACGAGTTGTTTTACGGACGTAGCGACGCAGGAGCCGAATCAGGAATATAAACGAGTATTATAATAACACCTAATGGACGTGTTTTGTATCATATTTTATTTCATCCTTTCTGTATAATCCTTTTAAAAAGGAATTAATAGATACGAAGAACCTAAATAGTATTAATAGGGCTATCAACAGATGCAGAAAAAAAAAAAAAAGAAACAGAAGAAGAAAAAGAAGAAGAAGAAATTATTACGAACATGAAGAATATTAGAAGCTCCGGGTCAAACAAAATTACTGCAGAGAACCTAAAATATGAACAATGCCGCCGAACCGTAGGGCGTACCTGCGGTTTCTTCCCCAAAGCCGTCATATGGACTTATGCTGCGGCCACACAGAGTGCGATGTTCGCTATGTTCGCTACGTCCATTAAAAATATCTCCCATTATTATAAACGGACGTGGCCACATAGATGTAAGACGCTACGTTCGCTATGTTATGTAGCGAACGTAATGAACATAGCGAACATAGCGTATCGCTCAGTGTGGCCTCAGCATTACATACGGTGCCGAAAACCCAAAAATTGACGGCTATCTATAAACTAGAACAAATTCAAAGAAGAGCATGTCCTAACATAACAGGGGCCATGAAAACCACACTAAATATAGCCATGAAGTCATTCTGAGTCTCCATCAACTTGATATTTACATCAAGGAGGTTGCTCTGATGACAATGTTACGCCTCCACACGGTTTGAATAGAACCTGATGTAGAATACGGTGAGAAGAGACGTTTTTTGGCAGAAGGCGCTCGATACGCTCCCACTACTTTAAGTGAACATGGACTCTATCTCACCGATATATAGCTTCCATAAGCCATATAAAGTTATAACAGAACAAATAGAAGAATCGGAAATGGCAGGTAAGATTCACATCTACACCGACGGTTCTAAAACAAAACAAGGCTCAGGATGTGGAATATACTCCAGATTCTTAAACCTAAATACAAAATGGGCTGTGAGCAATAGTGCCAGTGTATTTCAAATTGAGCTCACGGGAATTCTCATAACAGCAAAAAAATCACCAGAAACAGTATCACTGAAAGAAACATGCTCATCTATACAGATAGCAGACAGGCACTACTCACTCTGAACAGACCACAAATTTACTCAGGGTTAGTACTAGAATATCACTAAGCTTTGGTCGAAATATCCATCAACAATGTGGTCACAAGATCGATCAAATATAAGCTACATCGAAAGGTAACCGCCTTGAGAATTTACTAGCCAAGACGGCAGCCAACCAAATACTTTTTGGACATGGCCCCTCTATTGGACATCGGTAGTGACATACCTAATTAATAAGAACATTCCTTTATGAACTTCAAGGAAAGAAGAGTTAAAAAAAAAGAACCTGCAAAATTGCCTGTGAGCATATAAGTTATTATGTCAACACTACAGCAACCAAATACTTGACTATGAGTAGACAGAATCTGCGCCTGATCACAGGCATTCTGATTGGTCATTGTCAAGTACGGAAGCATCTCCATATCATGGGGCTGTCAGAATCCGCACTCTGCAGGAGGTACGAACAAGAAGATGAGACTATCGAGTATATCCTCTAAGATTGCTTGACGCTCTTATTTATTAGAAGAATTGTGTTCGGCGAGAATTGACTAACACCGGTCGATATAAAAGAAGCACCTCTTGGCGAAGCTTATTTTCTAAACACTTGTGATTGACAATGTCAAGGTTATGTTGTAGGACAATCGGAGCTACTACTTTTATTAAGTTATCCGCATATTTTAATTTTTAGAAGTTTGGACAAATAATAAAAAATAAAAAGAAGAGGTCCAAGATTTGATCTTTTCGGAACTCCTGATAAGGCACGATATTTTTGCTAAACTGTAGTAGTCATTGTAAAAACAAATTGATTTATATTATTTAAGAATTAAGATACTGTATGACATCAGAGTTAAATCCAAATTCTGCAACTTTATTTTTTAAAAGGATAGAATGGCGGGGTGGGTGGCTCAGTGGTAGAGTCTCTGCCTGTGGATCCAAGGGTCCCGGGTTCGAATCCCTCCTTTGGCCGGGATTAATTTAAATATTTAAAATTAATTCTGATGCCTTAGTAGGATTCCCCACTCGACTATTCACTGTTGGGTACTAATTAACAGTGCTGTTCCTAAAGTGGCGCTGGGAAACAGTAACAAAGCCTGCACATAACACGAGGCGAAATAACCATAGTAGTTGAAGCCGATGACATACAATAAAAAAAAAACAGGATAGAATGATCTCTTTTTATCGAAGGCGTTTGAGAAATCTTTATAGACCGCGTCTATTGGCCTTATTTATCTAAATTCTATGACAAATAAATGCGCTTTGAGATAAAATGTATATACATGATCAAATATGATCATCTCAGAGACCTTCGTAAAATTAGAAAGAATGGATATCGGTCTTATAGTTTTCTACTGCGGTCTCATATCAACTCTTATGTATCAGAAAAATGTTTTTTCAGCACTGAAGAAAATTTTAAGGTTTTTAATGCAAGGTTGACAACTATATTATAAAGCAATAGCAAAAACTACTGCACAATCACTAACTGTAAAAGAAGGAATACCATAAACCTATTGTTGAAATAAAGGATTTAAACTGTTCAACATACCTGTCAGAACTTTTCAAATAATTTCTGTCATCACTGCAGCCTAAATTTTTATCGGTAACATTAATTTCGTTATTAGTAGCCAAAATTTCGAGATTGGCGGTTTCCGTTTCAGGTGTGTGTCCCAAAATGTTCCTATATACCGTTCCGTTTTTTGTAATTTCATCGACGACCTCTTGAAAGTTAAAAGTCGATTTTAAATCGGATTTTAGTTTGGTTTCGTCGTTTTCCAATAAATTTGGCAATACATGCGTTTTGGTTATTTTCACTGGTTTGCGATTGTTGCTTTCCTTTTCGCATTTTTCGTTTTCCGCTACGGGTAATTCATTGATGAAAATGTGCACGCTGAATGGACAACCGTTCAAAATTTCCCCTGCTGTGAACATGTTGATTTCGTACATGCCGTAATTCTTTGGAACGTAAGTCACTTTTATCCTATCTTTTTCCATGGTGGTTTCGATCAGGATGCCGTTGTTGATGTTTTTTCGCTGCGAACGAGAAAAATTCCAAGCATTGGATTGCATCAGATTCTCGATAAATTGAATTGACGATCTTCTTTCTTGTTTTCGTTTATTTCTGATCAATTTGCGCTTTTTGTTGACCAATTTCGGGGCCATTACTTCCCCGTAGGTGCCATACGGTCCTGGAAAATTATTTAATAATTTATTGAGGATACAAATAGGACAAATCCAGGACAGTGTGCGCAAAAATGTACAAAAGAAAATTGATTAAACAAAAAATGGCTGTTTATAGAAGAGTTTCAATAAAAAAATCATAACTGAGATATTTTAAACTGAATAAAGATAAGTGGTTTTTATGTTAGCATTCCTAAACAGTTTCTCATATGGAAGATCTCCTAAATGTAATAATATGTTCGACTTACATTATATTATTGTAAAATATAATAAAATTTCAGAAGGCCTTAACATTATTTTTAACAGAGATTTAAACAAATTATGTTTGCAAACTAAACGATATTTGCAAGTGACAATCAAAAAACACATTTATTTATTTGTATCCAAACAGGCCATCGGCCTTATTCATAGGCGCCGAATCCCCGGGGCTCTGGGTGCGCAAGCCAATGCCAATAAGTGAAATGAAGAAGCTGTTGTGACCCAAGTTGGTATACCGACAGGATGCCTCGATAAAATATCGTTCTGAGCTGTATTTTTTGTGATAAAAAAGTCGCCGTCACCTGTACTTAAGAGTTTATTATTCTTGGTGTATAAAACCCTATGACATCAAAAAAAAAACGACTTTCTACAAATATCAAAACAAGAGTTCTTTTATATGATATTAAGCAAATGCTTGAGGGGAGAACATTTGAAGTTGCTTCAGATCAAGTACGTTAATTTAGAGTCAGAAACAGTTTTCTAGTAGTACTGGCGAGAACCCAGGTCTTTTACTAAAAACGCGCGGACCTGTCAGTTATTGATTTTAGAGGGAACCATTTGTTTTTGCCAGTTTCGCCCCCTGATCGAAAATCCTTAATAGGGAGTGAGACTCACCCCTAAAATTTTAACTGGAAAGAGAGTTCGAATGATAACTTATTTTAAAGGTATTTTTACATAGATTGTAACTCCCAAGTTTTACATCGCTACTATCTATATAGCCCATACAGCGGCTCACCAAAAGTACAAAACCGGTTTAACATCATTTTTACATTGTTATTAAAAAAAAAATGGAATTCTTTGTAACAATTCTAGTTTAATTCCTGTGGCTTTCAATTATTGTTATCAGATGACATTCTTTGGTCGATATAAAGTAGTAAGATTTAGTTTATTTCGTTGTACAGTCAGCTGAGAGGGTGCAAATAATTTCACTTTTTTTGAGAACAATGAATGTGGTAATAGAACTGTTTAACTGTTTAACAGTCAACATTAAAATCGACAAGTCCATCGAAAGTATATTTTGGAGTTAGTCCAAAAATTTTGGGAAACGGGGTCAGTAGCTACCAAATGACGTAAAATGGAAAATGCTATAGTAAATGGAGCTACAGAGGTGGCGATTTTAGGGCATGTTGTTCAAAAACCCACATTGAGTACAAGGTAGTTTGCGATAACATTTGATATTAAGAAAAGTAGCATTCAGAAGAAAAAAGATTCCTTCAAAATTCATCTGGTATAAGAACTTAACGAAGACGATTTTGATATAGTGATTACAATTTTGTGAAATTATGACTGAACAGGCAATAAATGATCAGCAATTTCTTTTCAATGTATGTTTTTCAGACGAATGCACTTTTTTCCTAAATGGTACGGTAAAGCGTCACAACGCAACATCCGGAAAAACTGAATGTTTTGGTTAGCATTTTTGGTAACCGTATAACTGGCCCCTTTTTTTACCTGGAACTTTAACCGCAGACATGTATCTGGAATTATTAGAAAACACCATTTATCCAGCATTACTAGGGTTGATTGAGAATGACGATCAGTACATAGCAAACAACTTAATATTCCATCAAGATGGTGTGCCACCCCATTTTGCAGTGACTATTCGTCAGTATGTGAATCAAACGTTTTCAGGTCAATGAATCGGAAGAAGAGAAAGTATTGAGTGAGTGGCCCCCACGGTCTTCGGATCTAACCTTGTTGGATTTTTAATGAGGCCACTTAAAAACTAAAATTTATGCCACCTAGCCAACATCACTGAAAAATCTGTGACAGAGGGGGCGTCCATTAATTATGTAAGGTAATTTTGAGAATTTTTTTGACCCCCTCCTGCCTAGTGAGATTTCGTAAGATTATCCTCAACTCTCCTCCCCCACCCCCTCTTCCCCCTTCTTCACCCATCTCCCCCTCTCCCTCCCAACCCCTTCCCTCTTCCCTCCTCCAAAAGATATAATTGATGAATGTCATCAAATCACCCCACAGATGCTTTAAAATGTCCTAGGGCGTTTTAAACAAAACCTCTATTATTGCATGGAGGCCCAGGGTCAGCATTTCCAGCATTAACTCGAATAACTGGTAAGCTTTTACAGAAAATAAAAATCGTTAAAAGATCATGGGTAGGAAGACAGTAGCGATTTTAAACTCAGGGATTAAAATCTATGTAAAAATATCTTCAAAATAAAGTATCATTTGACCCCCCTTATCATTTAAGATTTAAGGGACAAGTTTCACCCCCGCTAGAGGCTTTCCGCTTATGGAATTAAACTAGCAAAAAAAATATTTCCTCCTAACTCCAAAATAGACGAGCGTTTTTTCGTAAAGAAACTGAAGTGCGACAAAATTGGCTATGTTTTGTTTTCAAATGGCCATTATATGTGTATTAATAAATAATCAAAAATCTCCTAAATTAGTTATTAAATGTTTTATATTGTTTCTACTTATTTCATTGGTACTGCAGCACCATTGAATATCAATGGTGGCTGCACCGAGCATATAGGGTTGCCAGATGACAGCTATTCCGATTTAGGTGGGAGCCTTCAAGCCTCCAGCCTACCGAGTTTTGATACTCCGTCTGCCGCTTCAATCCTCAAAACTCCAGCAATTGGACATGTGACAATACCTTTTTTTTCTTCAAGAATATTTTCATAAAATTAACGCTTTAAAATAGCTTTTAAAGTGCTTTTAAAAAACCGGTGGTGAGGTGTGGAGGGCGGAGAGGGGATTTCCCGTATAGAAGCCGGGCACCCAAAGCAATTTTTGAGTTCCGGCGCCTATGGCCTTATTACATGGATACAAGTATCATAATACATAAATATTAATAATAAACAGTAGGTAATTACAACTAATATTTCAACTTATTTAGTATTAAAACTAATTAAGAGTAATATAATAATTAATCAAGAGTAATATAATAATTAAATACAACATATTAAATGGTTCATTTAAAAGATGGTAGAACTTAGAAATCCAGTACAGCCGAGTATGCTTATGAAAATGATTCTATTACTTTTACCTTTAATTTGTATAATTATGGAGCCATCTTTGTCTTCGTCTTCTTCATAATTTTCATTCAGATAAATATAAAACACGGTCTTTTTGTGCTGTTCGCCTGAAAACAGTCCCATGCCTCTGACGATGTACCGCGATGAAATTTTCCAATCTTTATCTTCATTTTCGCATATTTTGTTAACAGCTTGTTGTATCTCGCCTAAATAGCGAATGAATTTTCTCTCCAAACCGGACGTTAGTTTCAAATTTAGCTCGTCACTTGAAAAAGTCTAAAAACAATAGTCGAACAAATTAATTAACTGCTACAAAAGCAGAAAATTCTAGTAGTTTTGAAAGAACCATAAATGCTTGTATTTTCATTCTAAATTTAATTTATAGTTTGTTTCCATTTTTAAACGTTCTAATTAACAATTTTGTTGTCGATTGGCTCTTATTAATTGAATATGTTTACTCTTTTCGATTTTTAACCGACTTCAAAAAAGAAGGAGGTTCTCAATTCGTCGCATTATTTTTTTTTTGTATGTTCAGCGATAATTCTTTAACACGGTGTCCGATTTCAATGAATCTTTTTTTTTTTTTTAGAAAGGGGATACTTCAGGGGTGGTCCCATATAAATTTGGTCAAAATATAATAATTGGATCCATGAGAAAATCCTCAAATTCTATATTTTTTATGTATGTTTAGCGATAATGCTTTACCACCTTGTCCGATTTATATGATTCTTTTTTTGTTTGTAAGAGGGTACCTCAGGGGTGGTCCCATATAAATTTGGTTAAGATGTAGTGATGGCATCTGCACGTTTTTAAAGTCGGTTTTTTTAAATTTTTAATTTCTAATACTTGTTGTAATCGATTCATTCCTACCTTAAGGCGAAACTCCACCAAACTGGGCTAGTCCGGCGGCACACGCCGCAGGCATAGCCCGCCGGCTTTTGGCGAAGAAAAATTGAAATAAAAATATTCTTCAATGCCGCCGGCAGGAGCCGCCGGCACAATTTTACTAGCGGCCAAATGTCGGTAAAGATGAAAGAAATTTATGCGGGCTATGCGAGCAAGCACGTGTTTTTTCAGTAATTCTTGATGTTTGTATGGATTGGTACGTTAGACGAGGTTTGTATACGCAGTAACATACAGTGGATATTCATGAGACTTTAATATGGATATCCAAGACAAAAATACGGAAAATATTCAAGACGTTGATGATTTTTTTGCCGAATGAAATGAAAAAAGCTCTTCTTATTGATAGAATTATTCCGAAATGGAAGAAATTTGTGGAATCCTAATAATAATAATACCATAAGCCATTAGGTTTTATACAAAAAACATTAATTCCATCAGGACCTTCTTCAAATTAATCTAACTCGAACCATACTTCAGAAGACCTAGCCTTTAAAACACCAGAACATGTTCAAGATCCATATACCCTAATAAGAAAATTTTGTTGCCGTCAAAAAACATTTTGGGATGAAGAACAACCAACTGTCTAAACCCAGACAAGTCGACACTTAAAATTTAAAATGCCCACTGTCCAGTTTGGTGGAGTCGATTTAATATCGCGGTAAAGCCGCTGCAAGCCGCGGCATTTTGTGCCGGCGCCGGCGGCAAGGCCGCAAGTGACGCCGGGCTAGCCCAATTTGGTGGAGTCCCGCCTTTACGTTAAGAGTTATAGCTATGAGAATTAATTTGTCGTCATAGTCCTCCTTATACCCGTACCTTAAAATTTTCAGGAACTATTTGTCGAGCCGCATTTCCCCTATCGTAGGAAATTCCTTTTTTAAATTTTTTTAATTTATGTTTAATTTTTTGCGATGCAACCCGCAATGTCTTTAGGCCACACAAAGTAGAAAAATATTTTTTTTAATTTAATAATATAATTATATTACAACTACCTGATTTGCATTTTGTGGTACAACTCAGTGGTCAAACAGGAGCAACCTTTTACGCTCCCAGATTATGTCAGATAAGCGTGGTACAACTCGGTGGTCTCCTTTTTTTAAGTTTACTGAATTTTAATAGGCCTTTTTGGGGTTTCGTATCCGAAGGGTAACCAACGGTACTCTATTATTAAGCCTTCGCTGTCCATCCGTCTGTCTGTTAGTGGGCTGTATCTCATGATCCGTAATAAGTAGAAAGTTGCAATTTTTACAGAATGTTTATTTCTGTTGCCGCTATCACAACAAATAATAAAAATAAATTAAAAATTAAAAGGGACTCCCCTACGAGAAAATATTTTTTTTTTACTTTTTTTGCTCAATCTTAATAAAGTATTTAAAAAGTACCTTTTTTATTACAAATATCACATACTCAATAATTATTTTTTACGCTATTTTAGGAAGAATCTTAAAAAATACCTTTTAGAAATCTCGAGAATATATTGGATTCCAATTCAATCGTAAAACTATCAGGTATATCATTCAACATTTTTTATACATTGGATAATTAATAAATTTGTTATTAAGAATTAATATTTTCAGGCAGACGATAACGAGCTGGTAATTGTGAATTTGAAAACAGGTCAAATTTTGGCCAGAAAGATAATTTGAAAAAAATAAGTACACCGAAATAAATCTAGAAAACCGTCATATTATTGATATTCAGTTCTCCATGCAACAACTAATAGACCTAAATAATCATGCACCACAATTTGGTTGTTCAGTAAATAGTTTAATACTGAGAAGATTGTAAAAATATGGAGAAGTTAAAAAGTTTATCTATACCCTATGCTGCCTGAATTGGCAGATCTAAGGCATGACCGGGAAATATAATTGAGGGAACTCGATTATATTTTAGAAGCTATTCAAAAAATAAAAAATAGAGAACAAAAATAATTACCTCAAAAAAGTAAAATAACTTTAAATGTATTTACAAAAACCGCTATTTATGGACGAGAATAATTGATAAAAACTTTTAGTATTTTTATTATAGAAGTGTTTCCTTTAATACATTTTATTTTAATCTAGGTACTATTAAAACACTTTAATACCTATATTTATTTGCAGGTACTTTTGTGACTAATTTATGCCTAACCCCGTCGTTGTAAAAAATAATATCAAACTGATTAGTCAAATGCCCGACTCTTTACAAAAATAAATTTTTTAAATTTCTGATAAAATTACATCATATTGTACAGGGTTCGTAAAATATTACGAAACTTCTGGCGTTTGTTTGTCCTTTTATATTATTCAGTTATTTTAATAGCAGAAACTCATAACCTTGCAGGAATTTGAGATATTAACTGAGAAGAATTCGTATATCTCATTCCAGTCTATTTATAAGAAGTCAAAAAGAGAAAAGTTTTAATATTCCATGATTAGATTAGATTTACTTTATTGTGGATCATGTAGCCTCCCCCACCTCGACCTTTTCAGATCCATTGTGGATATCCTTTAATCGTTGTTTAGAGTACCTTGTCTAATTAGGTCTTTTGTAGTATACTCCAAAGACCGGGAAGTAGTTCTCCGATATAGCTAGTTGCCCTTGGTTTTTCTTCTCCAAGTGTAAGGAATCAGTCTTACTCTATATTATGTTATGTTGGGAATGGGGTGTTAATACACTGCGACCTAAAAAATCTATTGTGCCCCCTTCTGTCGCTAATGCACCAAGGAAATGTCTCAATGCCTATAACGATCCTTCCAATCCTATCTTCTCAAGGAAGTGTAGGATTTGGAGTGGCTTCAAGTTATGTAAATCTCCTTCTTCTATTTGATATCCTCCTAGGTATAGTGCCCTTGGATTCTGGAGTGCTACACATTCAGTTGGAATATGAATGGATGTTTCGTCCTCCTCCTCACAGAATCTGCACTCACTATCCTCTACTACTCTCAGTTTACTAAGGTGTCCTTTTAGTCGACAATGCCCGGTAAGGATCCCTGTTACATTACGTAGGCCTGTTCTTGCTCAGGCAGATGCAGGCTTCCGATCTTTTCTGGTTATATTCATCCAGAAGTATCTTAGCCTGTCTCAGCCCCAAGAGATTGTTGTTTAGAGTACCATCTCTAATTCGGTCTTTTGTAGTAGACTCCATAGACTGGGAAGTAGTTCTCCGGTAGAGCTATATGCCCTTGGTTTTTCTTCTCCAAGTGTAAGGAATCTCAGTCTCTCAGTAGCACAATACGTGTTCTGCAGTTTCCTCCTCTTCTTGTGTAATAGTTTTGACACGTTGCAGCGCCAATTTGTAATTACTTGACGTTACTTTGCAATAAATGTTAATTTCAAAACACTAATAACAAATTTTGACTAGCTCATAGAAATTTAACACCAAACATTACTTACCTTTAAAAATTAAAAAAAGAAATGAGCACATTGACCATAGTTTTCTCAGTCGTGAATTCGGCTTTTCTAATAGACACCTCTGGGATAATAGTTTTCTGGGAGAGATGGGCACCAATAATTCTCTTTTTTATTTTTAGAAAGCTAGTGAGAATTATAAACTCTAGCTTTATCAAAAAGAAATTAATAAATACTTATATAAAATTTAATTTGAGGAAAAGAGAATTGTTGTAACCTTAAAAAAAATAAGATTTAACATATAACTGAATTTATTTATTATACGACATGAATTAAATTTATAAAAATAAAAAAAATACTGAAACTTTCTAGATAATGTTTTTTATCATGCTGGTACAAACCACTATAAAGTTAAAACTCGTATTATACCAAAATCAATAGTTCTTTAATAGCCTCGTGAATTATTTACCACTATGTAGATTTCTGTAGATCTTCGTAGTTAGGAATGTCGCCATCAACGATAGCCTCGGTAGCCTCTCTAGCTCCAAAACATCCAATTGAAGAATTTGAACATTGTTTCTGTTCAAGTAGCAGTATCTAGCAGTAAATTTTCAGTATGAAAGAGAAAATTCTAACGTGAGAGGGAAAGAGAAAGAGACTGCTTACATTCGCTTCCTAAACAAAAATAAATTCTGTTTTTCACGAGGCTCTTGTATGATATATAATTTAACTTTTAAACATTTTTTTTTTTTAATTAAATACAGATAACAAAAAAAAAACTAATTAATATAGACAATGTGTAAATTCAGCTCACAAACTGAGTAAAGCATATTTAATAAATTTAAATTGACTTTCAAAATAAATAACAATAAAAATAAGTAGAAATATAATTTTTACTGAGATATCTTTAAAATGACATTATTAAAAAAATACTTACCACTATATTTTGCAGTCTAAGCACTCAACTTTTAGTTCAAGGTATCAGATGAGAAATGAATTTTAATGAAAAGATTTTAAAATTGGGAGCCAGCCAGATCCCCACCTACAGAAATTTCCCTCTCTAAGCATATTGCTAGCGCCGATAATAAAATGGTAAATCAATCTGATACTAATTTATACAGGATGTCACACAATTAAAATAACATTTTTAAATGGAATTTTAAAATATTACACTTCAGAATCGGCACAATGTCTCTTCTGTCAGATCGATATTATACATATATTTGTTAAGCCTACAACCTGTTAAAGTTAGTAGATTCTCGGTGAGTCTAGGCGATGGTCCTTTCAAGAACTCTTTGGCCTGTCTCAGTCCTGGTGAGTTTTTCCACCACTCTTTATTGATGCATGTTCTGATAGTTGTCTTTGTGACACCACAGAAGGGTTCTTGGGCAATAAGAGCCTTTGAGGCACCTTCTTGGGCCAGAAAATCAGTCTCTTCATTACCCTTATGTCCTCTGTGGCCTAGTACCCAGGTTAAGGTTAGTCTACCCAGCTCTGTTGGGGCTTCCAAACAGTCCTACACAAGCTTTGAGTGTACCTGCAAAGACCTGAGTGCTTTTAACGTCGCTTGAGAGTCTAAGTATGTCAATGCTTTTTCCATTTACATTTTGTCTTAATACCTGCTATTTCTGCTTGGAATACTGTCGCATGTTTTATAAGCTCAGTAAGATTCTTGTCTTTGGCTTGGTACTATTCCACCGTTTGTAAGAAAATCCTTAACACAAAGATCATATCTATACATATCTAATAAAATATATAACTACGTACCGGGTGATCTAAAAACCATAAAAACTAAATTTAATTTTAAAAAAATGTTAAAAAAATATATATTGCAAACTGAAAGAAAGCTGTTTTCAGACATGATAGAAAATTAACATAAAAATAAAAATAAATAAAAATATTCTTGCATAATATAACATAATATAATCTTACTTCTCGCACACTATTAAGATTTAGTGTCGTTTTAGAATTGATTTTATTATTATTATTAGTATTATTGATATTATTATTCTTATTATGATTATTATTATTCTTTTATTATTATTATTATTATTGTTATTTTTGTCGAAACAAGTATGTATTACTTATCGACTAATACTTTATTTATCAAGTCTAGTGGGTAAATTTGTATTTTATAATTTTGTATTATGTATCATATTATTGTAATATTGCCTATTGTATACTGCATATTGTATATTGCATATTGTATTGTATATTGAATTTGTATAATTGTATATTATTCATAATTAAAGTTATTTTATTTTATTTATTATATACCTACTCCTGAACCTTTATGGGTTTCGGAGCCGTCTGTATACCAGGTGAATTCTGCATTCTGCATTCTCCGGTCCACGCATCCCTGTCTGGTATAGTTACTTTATATTGCTTTTGAAAGCTATACTTTAGGAGCATTTCGTCTGAAGGCATTCCTATTATTTGGTCGTTCTCCAACTATTTATATAGCTCGATGTAGTCGCGTCCATACAAATTACATATGGATGATAAACCTTTGTGCAGTCTGTATGTGACAGACCTGGCTTCGCCTTGAATGAATATTTATTTATTATTATTGTTTTAGTTAGAGCAAGAGAACAGCTGCAAAACGTTGGAGGGAAGATGTGATATAGGAAAAAAATATATGAATTAAAATTATGAAGTTTGCAATCAACTTTTTCAAAAATGAGGCACCAGGGGCAACTCGTTTGGGAAATAAGAACAACAAATGTTAAAGTTACAAATAACAATCAAAAATTAAAAATATTTGTCATGAATAGATTTACAATAATTAATCGATAATAGACTAGAAGTGTAGTATTCTTTTTAATAAACAATTTACCGTAATTAACATTGTTTAAATTTATTTACCAGAACATGAAAGTGCATGTTTACAACCTTTATTATTAGGTTTTTAATTTTTCCGCTGCGTTATTGGTTTGATATCGACAAAAGTGCACATAATGGGTCAGATGTTAACTGCGTTCGAGCTGGTCGTTGTTAAGCATGTACTTCTTATGAGAGTTTCCTATTTTTATGACCCTTATCTTTGGACAAAACTAAACTGACAAACATATCCACACTTCAACACTATGCACACTGTTTTTTAAATAGATTTTTCAGAAAATTGATGCATAAATAAATACAGCTACAGTCTTTTAATTACTGTTATCTCATGTTTACCATACGGTCATAATTAATTTCACTGGACAAGGAGTATTGAGGAAAAACAAGAAAATTACACAGAATGAGACTACAATGAGCAAGATATTAAAATATACAGTGATATAATATAAATATCTGTCAAATTATAATACTGACAGTAAAAATGTTGTACCTAAATATATGTAAATAAAGATTTTGAACTGCACTGATTGATTGGAAATTGAATGGTAAAAAAATTAAATTGCAATTTCCATAAATATTATCATGGAAAAAATATATTTACCTGTACAATTCCGAAATATTTATAGGCTAAAGTTTGTGCATGCGCTGGCGTTTGCCTCCAATGCCTGTGGGGATTAGGACAGGCTCCAGGTACGCCTGTATTAATGAGTGTGCAAAGTAGGGATCCATCGGACCAGAGCTCTTTAATGCCTCCTGACAACGTGTGTACAGAATGCGAAGACCAGGTTGGTGGTAGTCTACCACAGGCCCATTTCAAGATGTTTTCTCTTTTTATGAAACACGGACATAGAACTGAAACAAGTAGAAGCTAAAGATAGCAAATATGGTTTGAAAATACCAATAAATAGGTACACTGTGTCGTAAAATTAACGCATCAATTTATATTTTAAAAAATTGTCTTTTTCAACTCTTTTAAAAAGGCGACGACTTTTCTTAAATATGTACGAGTATACATATGCTGTCTTCAAAGTATGGTAAGATAGTTTTTTGTACGCCTTCTTGCTAAACGAATGTAATTCTTGAAAAAAACACTAACTTTAAGTGGTATGGTTCAAAAACTATTTAAGTGGTGATAAATAGTATCCGTGAACGATTCTTAACTTAATATTTATTGATCTAATGTCAATTATGTCTCTTTCTGCAGGGCCGGCTCTAGGCATGTGTAAAATGTGCAGTTGCACAGGGCGCCAAATTCTAGGGGCGTTAAAAATTACATTTATCAATTTAAAATAAAATATTAGTTTTTTATTTATCTAGTCATTAAGAAGAGCAGCTGTGGCAGTTTAGATTTAATTTTAAACAAATAATTTTGATTATTTACCTATTTTTTATTATTATCCGACGCCGCCCCTGCGATTGTGCCTGAGTTCAAAACTTGTATCTAGTGTCGATGTCACGTCACGATTTGCTAGCCTTTTCTATCTTACAGGGAGAATGCTTTACCGCGAGATCCTACGCTACTTTTGAATAGCCTAGATCGCGCTGCTGCTGAATTTATGTAATAACAGCAAAATAATGGCAAAAAGAAACATTTTAGTTCGGAGTATAAAAAAAAACGCATTAAAAAGCAGGCGGAATTAAAAAAGCAGACTAGAGCTCAAGAAAGTTTTTTGAAAGACTTCCCTGGATCAAGTAAGAAGCAAGAAAAGTCAATTCCGGTACCGTCCAATGAAAAGGAACTTAATGCATCAGAATCTGATATCCCACCTCGTTTGCAAGCAGAAAAACAAAATTCAGAATCCGATTTACTAACAGAAATAACAGAAAAAGTTTCACCACCACTTTTAACTTCAGATCATGGTACATGGCTAAGTCATATTTCAGATTCAGACAGAATACTACGGGTTTTCCAGTTGAGCCGCCATACAATTTTGAATTTCCTACCGATGGTTTCAGCAGAAGATTTAGTTCAAACTTTTTAGAAACGTAAATTGGAAAATGGAGAGCTAGTTTTAAGAGATTGGCTTTTTTCTGCCACTATATATACATATATATATATATATATATATATATATATATATATATATATATATATATATATATATATATATATATATATACATATATACATAACTGGTTAATGGATGTAACGACTGGAGACATATTGGTAAAATTCTAAAATCACATGAAACTACTAAAGTTCACTACTAGGCACAAAGTTTATTATTCGAACTCTCGTATAGACTAAAAACCTCTAAAACTATAGATAACGAGGCACAACGGATCTTAAACCCTGAAATAAAGCATAAAGAATGATGTGCTACGTCGCATAGTGTCCATAATAAAATTGTTAGGTCAAAGCTGCCTTTCTTTTAGGGGTACTGAAGAAAGATTGTATGAACATAATAATGGCAATTTTTTTAAATTTGTTCAACTTTTGGCAGAATACGATCCTATAATGGAAGAGCATGTAAGAAGAATATTGAAAAAAGAAGCAACATAGTTGGGAAAGAATCTCCAGAATAAAATGATAATCATATCAAGTAACATGTGAAATACTATCTTGGATCAGGTTCGAAGAGCTAAGTATTATTCAATAATATTACACCCGATCTAAGCAAAACTGAACATATGACACTTGTTATAAGATATGTTACAATTGAAAACAATGAGGTTCAAATTAATGAACATTTTTTGGGTTTTCTACCAGTCGAAAGATCTACCAGCCAGCAACTGTTTGATATTTTAATAGCTGAAAAAACTAGAAAGTATGCGTGAGCAGGGGTACGATAACGGCGCGAATATGAAGAGGGAACGGTCAGGCGTCCAAAGAAAAATTCGAGACATTAACCCTCGTGCATTTTTTGTCAATGCTGTATAAAAGATTTATTTATTTAATTATATCTTCCGCGTCGAAATTTAGATGGTCAATTTTACTTCAACATGTTGAGAGTATAACTTTGAAACCACTCAGCGATACAAGGTGGGAAAGCAGAATTTATGCCATAAAACCTTTGAGATACTAATTAGGTAAAATTTATGAAGCTCTTTTTTCTACATATAATGATCCAAATATTGATGATAATGATCCAAATATTGATGCTGCAATCAGATATAAAGCGTCTGCTTTACTTACGCAAATAAAACAGTTAAAATTTGTATGTTCTGTTGTTATTTGGTTTACTCTTTTTAACCACGTCAACCCTGTAAGTAAACTTATGATTGTGATATTCCTTCTGCCACTGAGGCTTAAAGAATTTGCAGAATTGTTTTTACAATTTAAGAGAAAATCAATTTGATCAACTGCTCGTGGATGCGGGGGAACTGGCGGCAGAAATTAATGTCGATAAATCTTTTGAAGCAACAGCTAGGCATATAATCCGTCGTCGAAAAAGAAACTTTGATTATGAAAACGAAGATGAACCTAGGTATCACAGATCAAAAAGAAAAATATAAAATAGAATTTTATTATCTTGTTCTAGATACAGCCCTAAATGCTTTGGAGCAAAGATTTTACGCTCTGGAAGATCACTCAAAAAATTTTCATTTTTTTATGACATTCACAACTTAAAGCAAGTACCCAAAAGCCAGATAATAGCATACTGCAAAAAACTTGAGCAACGTCTTAACTGACCAAGATAATAGTGATATAAATGGCCTAGAGCTAGCTGACGAACTGGTCATTGTATATTCTCTTAAAAAAAACATCCTAAAGAAGTACTTCAATTTATAACAAAATTGAACTTTACTCCCAATTTAAGTATAGCCATCCGGATCCTTCTAAAGCTTCCAGTAACTGTCGCTACCGGAGAAAGGAGTTTCCCAAAATCGAAACGGACCACCACAAACCTACCACAATCACACAAAATCGACTTTATGGTCTTGCTATTATTGCAATAGAACACGAGATATGTGAGAAAACCAATATTACAGAAATCATAAGACAGTTTGCTGAAATTAAAGTTAAAAAAAAAATTTTGTTAGGTAATGTTTTTTTTGGCTGACCCAATTTAAGTAGAGGTATTCGTTTGTAAATTGTTTAAAAATAAGTTTATGTTAAAAAAAATAAAGTTTTTAGGTACATTTTTTCTTTGGTTTCTTTTAGTATACCCATTTTTTAGACCTATATAAAAAAATTGTAGTAATTAGGCTAGATAGGTGAATGCGCCAGCTCAGGATTTTGTACACAGTGGAAAAAATTCTAGAGCCGGACCTGTTTTCTATGTTTAAAATTAAGTACGATTCCTGACTTATAGCGTTTTCGACTGGTCACACTCAGTTCACACTCGTAAAGTGCGAGTTTTCGTTGATCAGCACTGGTTTAATTTAGTGACGTCACACAAACTTAATTCAACCGAAAACGCAGTTGACCACCAGTGCATTGTATTATATTTGACAGTTGTCATCTGAGTAATAAATAGAAGTACCTTCAAAATTCCAAACAAGATCCAAACCAAGCTTTCATTTTTAATATATATTTAATATTATTATATTATAAAATATGTTCTCAATATATTAACATAAACTTACTTTTGTCTAAGTACTTAAGATGTCAGCGTATACTATGCATATACATGACTTACAAGAATATTTATGGTACCTACCTGGGAGTCATCCAGGTGCGACACCACTGATTCAATGTAATCTTTTATTTTTAGCAGTTTAGTTTTATTACACTTGGCCTTAAATAAATCTTCTTTGTCTGAATTGACGAAGAAGTTTTCAATATTTCTTTACAAATTCTACAAAATTTACACAATTTACAAACAACTCTTCATTTGCCATCGCCATATTTGTTACGACTGAACTGAAACTGAAAACCTGTCTCTGCACTCGGTTCACAAAAGTGCGCACCAGTTAATTTTTTTGAGTTCAACTGATTCCAACCGAAAATTCAAAAACTGGCCCGGTTCGCACTGCCCTTGCGAGTCGAAAACAAATGTTGCACCGAGTGTTAAAAAGTGCGCACCAGTTTCACCAGTCGAAAACGCTATTAATATTTATTGATCCAATGTCAATTCTGTCTCTTTCTATGTTTAAAATTAAGTTAGTTCACATTGTTCTCATTATAAATAGTAATATATTTATTGTTTCTATTAACCGGGAACAATCTCAAAGGCGTTCATGTAATCTATCCAAGACATACTGGTTTTTGTTTTGCCTCTTGAAGCTATCTATCAGCTTCTTAATCAGAGGTTGGTCCTTATATCCATAGCTATTTCTCTTACATCCTTTTTGTTTTATGAAAAACATTTTGTTTTCATCTAGGTGTTTGTAAATACTTTCATTAATATCACTGTTATGTTTTTGAAAGTCGTTCTTCTCTTGCGTTGTATTGGTGTTCTTGGATATTAAAGACGTGTGGTGCCTTTCGCTACTATTGAGGAATAGGTTGGTTATTCTTGATTACATCCGAGAATACCGATCAAGGAGAAGCGACAGCTTGGTGTTTTCAGTGTACCGTCACAGTTTATTGCTAAAGAATCAGTTAGCTCACTTAGACCAGTTGAATGTTCCAAAATAATATCCACTCCAGGGATACAAATTCAGGATGCGCAGAAGACTGCTGTTTGAATATAGGCGGTTGTCATATATTGTATTGGTTATGATTTGATTCTGTATGCGCCAGGGATACAAATCCGAGTTGCGCAGTGTATAAACTGGAACATTGAGATCAAAAGTGCCGACGCAGAGTGAGCGAACTGATTCTTTTTAGCTATAAATTGTGGTACAGTTTTGTAAGGCGCATGTGCGAAAATAAGTTGTGTATCACTCAAAATGATGTTATCTGTCAAAGTCAGTCTAAGTTGTGTTTAGTACGTGAGCAATGTTAAGTGATATTTTTTGGTATT